TTCTGTTTTAGGAATAACATTGACTTCCATCGGATTGGTACGATATGCACAGTTGAAGAAAACTGAAATAAACCGAAAAACCAAAAGCAGAACTTTATGAAATCTTCCATCGACTGGACCGTTTCACTAAAAAAAATCAATGTTGAGTTGCAGGCCCACACGCAGCGACCCAATGCCTCATGTTTTTTATCGATGATAGAAGACCTGGCGAGGCCTGAAACCTCTCTTCACCGTCTTGACTCGATCACCATCGCCCAAACAGTGATTTCACTGAAAAGTTAGTCGTACCAACAGGACTTTATATAACCATTTTTTCACACAAATCTTCCAGTACATACACAAAAAAACTTCAAAACAACTCCACCCATCCAGCTTTTGTGTCTTTTCACCTCCACACGATCAACGTTTGACATCTTTACCGCGTCCAGCACGCGCATTTTTCATTTACCTTTCCTGATCAAACTTAATTCTAAATAACACAAACCCATTGACATGTGTACACGTTTTCATTTCCTACATTTCCGCCTCCGTGACTTTTCGTTTTCTTAACTCCTTATCCACAGAACTACAACTTGTCAGAAATGTGCTACACTGCTCACCTTTCTTTTTTAAATTTCCCGAATAAACAAAATTGTCCACTGACCGTTTTGTGTTTCTCTTTGTTTCTCGCGCGCAAACAAATCGCGTTCCGTTGTTTTTTAACCCCCTTAACTGTCGACCCAAATATTTTGCCATTTATTGTAAAAAATGATCGTGCATCCCAGCCTGCCTCAGGACTTTCGTTATAAAATATACCATTGTTATTGTTATTCGTATTGTTAATATATCCCTCAAGTATAGCTGAATCCTTTGTTCGAAAGTCTTGTTTGAATTGATCGTCTGTTTTACTGCATCAATTGTGTTTTTATGATTGGTCCGCGGAAGACTTCAATTTTGCCCGTCGAATAATCTGATTGGTTCAGAGTTATATATAAACGCCTGTAATTTCCTTACTAAATGTGATTCGTGTCCAGTGGACTAGGTAAAGTATATCGAGGGCATTTCCTGAAGAACCGATTTTTGACATGGGGGCTGCGGAAAATGATGCGAAATTCCCAATATCGGAGAGAATGAACAGTCGACTGCAGGTCCAACCGCCGGCGTACCTGACTATGGAGGGGACGGGCGATTGGCTGATAACTGGAAACTGTGGCGAATACAGTATGAAGATTTTCGAACACTGACAGCGATGGACCGCGAATCCAGTCCCGTACAATTGGCTTTGTTCCGTCACATGATTGGTCCGCCTGCTCTGCGTGTCAAAAATGGATTCACTTACAGTCCGGATGAGTACCGTGGAGATTGGCAGGTGGTGATGGCGAAGATGGAGTGGTACTATCTTGGTGAATCCAACGAGACTTACGAACGATACATCTTCAACCAGAGGAGACAGCAGCATAGTGAGTCCCTCGACGCATTCGTCCTATCGCTAAAATCATTAACTCGGTCGTGCAATTTCTGTGCCTATCTGGAAGAGAGTCTAATAAGGGATTGAAGTGCCGTTGGCCTGCGGGATTCTGCTTTGTTGAAGTGCCTCTTGAAAATTCCAAAGCTGACATTGAAACAAAGCATCGACATATGTCAGAGTGAAGATACAGCAGAGGAGCATATGGAGACGCTTATCACGACAGAGGATTATCGATTGTGCAAAATTACCGTTGAAAATCGAATACATCCAACTGTATTGATCGATTTGGGAAAATCCTTCCTGTAAAGCCCAGTCTTTCCATCTCGGTTCGACATTTGGTGAATTTTACGTTCAATTCACCAAACACCATCCGCCTCATATACATATAGACGTTTGACGTTCCACTCCCCTTGTATATTTACACATCAATCCTACCATTTGACTCTGTTTGTTTATCTGTTCAATTTTTATCCTACTTGGTTTTAATCGTGACTTGAGCGCTCACATTTGGCTCGTTCATGTGCAGCTTGACGGTGTATGTATATTTCCCATCAATCCCCATTTGACTCTGTTTGTTTATCTGTTCAATTTTTATCCTACTTGGTTTTAATCGCTCGTTCAATTGCAGCGTGACAGTGAGCGTGCTATTCTTACCCAGGCTCATTTTCTCCAATTCAGATTTGTTGAATTACGCTCCTAGTTACACTTAGCTCTTGTTTTCAAGTTGTTTCGAGATCACTTTGAGGTTTGTACAGTTTTTATTTGCTTATTTGATCGCTTATTAATGCAGTACCGTAGAAATTTGTCGGATCGTTCGTTTTGTTGACGCTTTTGGATCCAATTTCGGCTACGCGTTGCTCGTTGATCTATTTGTGAGTTACACCAACAGCTGCTTGCCGTTTCTGTGACCACATACATCTTATGGGAAGAAGCAACTGTCCTGCTTGGGTAAAAACGTGTGATAGTAGCAAAAAGCGTAATCATTCTTTTACAGCAGTGTTTTGGGAAGAAAGAATCAACTTCAGAACCTCACGTTCGAGCAGATGATCGTGTCAATGGTGTACAATTACCGGCCAAACGGAAAGGCATTTTTGCTAACATTTTGGTGACTGGGGGAGAAGTAACGTTTCAACTAGATTCTGGTGCGTCCGTAAACATAATACCGAGTAATTGCCTACCAGATACCAAATTTGACCCTACCCAGACGAGATTAGTTACGTGGAACGGTGCAAACGTGGAGCCGAAAGGAGAAACCACAGCCAAAAGGGGTTCAATAAAACCGAAAGCAACGGTTAGTCCAATAAAGAGCGTCCAATCGAAAATTTGGTCGCAATAAAACAAGAAATAACACTGAATCCCATTTAC